TGTCCTTCTATTTCTTTCATTCCTTTGTCCCCATTGCCCCCCAAAGGGACTGCCTATTTTTTTCTTGTGTTATTTCTAGATTCTACTTCTTCTGGAACCTTCTCTTCTCTCCAGTTTTACTTGAATACTTTTTTTTTTCCTCTTTCCTTTCTGGTACTGCGATAGGGGATTCTATTTAGAGTTCCTCTCTGCTGTCAGGGAAAAAGAGTAGCTACTGCTGCTTAGTTCCTGTCTGGTTGGAATATCTTGCTGTCTTGGTGATTGGACTTGCTGGAAACTTCTGCCACATTTTAAGTTGAAAAAAAATCACCCCACTCAGCCGGGCGTGGTGGCGCATGCCTGTAATACCAGCACTTGGGAGGTTGAGGCAGGAGGATGGTTGCGAGTTTGAGACAAGCCTGGGCTACAAAGTGAGCTCAAGGCCGGCCTGAACTGCATAGCGAGACCTTGTCTCAAAAAAGACCAAAAAAAAAAATTACCCCACTCAACTCCATGTTTTAAGTATACAAGTTAAGTCTTAGGATGATAATCAGCTGCAGGTCTGAAATAAACAGAATGTGGTGTTTTTATCTTTCACTTAATATTTCACTGGGCTCTCGATTCTCAGAAAAGCTGATACCTAGGCACGTTAGGCCTTGCAAAGCCTGATCTTGCATCTTGTATTCTTATTTAACTGTACGTCTTTGTGGTGTCTCCATCTGAGCTTCTTTTTTGGGTGGGAGGTAACTGGGGACTGAACCCAGGACCTTCACACTAAGTTACATCCCAGCCCCGTTTTTATTTCTTGAGACAAGATCTCTCTGAGTTTCTAGGTTCCCCGGGTGGACTTGGACTTGTGCTCCTTCTGTCTCAGGCTCCCAAAATGCTGGGATCACAGCTGTGCACCACCACAGGTGGCTCTTTGGAACATTTTTAAGCCCTCTGATGTGTTTATTTTGCTGCACCTTGTAACATTTCCCTGTGAGAGTGTATAGGTATTCTTGTTCTTAGCTCAGGAATTATTTTCCTGTGTTTATCTCAAAGATGTACCCCCCAAAATAAATAAAGTATCTCAAAGGTGTTATGATGATGGTGAATTTAGTGAGCATGTTTTTCTCTTGCGTTAAACTGTATCATGCCCAGCCTGTGCAGTTTAGCAATTTAGGGAGACCCTGTCTTCAAATAAAGGGTAAGAAGGGGCCTGGGGAGGTAGTTCAGTGCAGAGGCCCTGGGTGCAAGCCCCAGTACCAAAAATGAAATGAAATGAAAGAAAACAAAGCTGTGTCTTTTTAGTAGTCGTGGCATTTAAAGTTTGTACCTGTGAAGGTCGTGGAATTAGACCTTAGAGATTTTCGTCATCACCAAGCATTTTGTGCTGTATTTTTGGCTTTAATGCAACATTTCCCCCAGAAGCAGTATGTACTCTGAAGCCTGGAAGTAATTTATACGTGTGTGATTTAAGGTGTAATGTCAGTTCTTTTAATGTGAGATTGGATTTTTCCTACTGTAGAAATGTCAGTGAGCCTCTGTGTATGAATTATTGAGCACGAGCAATTTTAATTCATGGCCATCATCCTGTTGCTTGCTTCTCTGTCTCTTTTGCCACAAGATTATTTTAAAGCAAATCCTCGGTCTTCATTTTCAGTAAATATTCATATATTTTTATATATATTTATATGTGTTTTAAATATTTAGTATTTCAGAAAGTATTTCATAAATTTAAATAAGCATATATCTTAAAGGTAAATATTAGGACCTTTTCCCTGGCCCAGTTATCAGAGACCCCTGCAGGGAGTCCCCCGATCTCCTGCCTGGCGTTAAGACACACGGCGGGGAGAAAGAGCAAGAGACAAAATAGAGGCGCAGGCGGGGATCTAGGACGACCAGTTTTCTTGGGGAGCCAGAGGCCTTGAGGATCCCAGAACCTGGGTATTTATTCATTACGTCGGAGTCAAGGACGATGGGGAAGGGCAGTGGGCATTTCCACAAACAGTAATGGCGACCGTGGTGGGCTGTGAAGAACAAATCATTCTTGCAAGGACAAGGACAAGACGGGGCGATGAGGAAACCGCAGTTTCTCCTGATGCCTTCTGGACTCCAGAAGTCTTATCTTGCCCTGTGAACCCCTGGCAGTCATTAGCCCCAGGGCTTCCAGCTGTGGCCAGAAAAGAGCGGGAGTTTGCGCATTCCTGTCTGATCAAGGGCAGGAGGAGGACAAGCAGGGATGTCCCCTAGGCTCGGATTATAGTTCTGGGGTAAGCACTGTTTAAAAATATGTATGAGCACCCTATGGTTAACAGAATTTTCAGTTGAAATATTAAAAATACTTCCGGAATAGCCCTGAAATTTAACAGCTGGAAATTACAATTCCGTAGCTGTCTCAGTTTTTTCCACAGTTTGATAAGGTGTCAAATGAGTCTGTACATTGTATTTAGCTGATGTGTCTCATGGATCTGTGTTAATTCACAGTCCCCCCTTTTTCTTGCAGTTTATTGAAGAAGCAGTTCTTTTTTTTTCTTCCTTCCTTCCTTCCTTTCTTCTCCTTACCCTCCACCCCAAGACTGTTATAGGTAGTGTTGGATACCTCTGTCAGTAGCAGAGTAGCCACCGAGCAAGAGAATAGTGAGGTATAATTTTCTGCACGACACTGGCCATCACCATGGTAACGACCAGCTAGCCCTTATTTTCCTGTTAGGTCTTATTTTCAGGGAAAAATGATATTGACTGCCTGCATCAATTCACGAGGGGGTGGCAAGAGTGTTTTAAGGATAAATTATACATGTGTGGAGTAAATCAGTGTCATTTCATTTTGCATTTTTGGTGATGTTTTATTAATTAATACACGTTGTCAAATTGCATGTATTACCCACGAAGTTTTCATTGTTTTTTAGGAAGAGTATCTACCAAAGTGTTCTTCACTCTTTTTGCCCTGCTTGGGCTCTTCATTTGCTTCTTTGGACACAGATTCTGGAAAACAGGTACCATGTTTGATGTAAAGGGTAGTTCAGCTCTTTGCAGTCTTTTGTCTTACGTGTGGCCAGGAAATGTGTTTCTTGGAAACTGTGAAGCGAAGGAGTGCTTACTTCTGTCCACTGTCTTCATAGATTTGTGGCTGTATTCTTTTGATAATTCTACTGAGTTGCTCCACATTGTAATTTTTTTCTTTGTACTGGGGATTGAACAGTGCCTTCACACTGAGCTAC